CAGCCAGGCCAGGCCCCAGCAGCTGCCAGGCAGAGAGGAGGGAGGCTGTGGAGTCCTGTCCCTGCCAGCCTGGGCCTCAGCGGCTGCCAGGCAGAGAGAGGGGAGGCTGTGGGCCTTGGCTGAGGCAGGGCTAGGCCATGGCTGGTAACATCTTGTCACCAGGTCTCCTTTCCCAGCGCAGCCGCCTCACGAGATCCTGCGGCTGAGGCCAGAGGCCGCCCTGCGGCCCACACAGAAAGTGGCCCTGTGGCTGGAATTGAACGCAGCAAAAACCAAAGCCAGCCACAGATTTTGAACATGGTCTTTGACTGACTCTGACATAGCCCCCAGTGCAGGCTGAAATACATCACTGTAAGTGCTCCGGGCTGCCCGGCAGGGATGACCCACAGGCCTGGGTGTGATTTAACTCTTTCACTGCACAGATAGATAAAACTTGCAAAGCATTGATCCTTTCTTGAGTGAAAGAAAAGAAAAAGAGTAAAGACATGTAGAAGGCAACATTAGACACTGAAGTCAGTAAAGAAGAAGTCAAATTTCAGATGGGAAGGAAAATGAGGAGATGCCTTTATTTTGGGCTGAAAACCTCTTGTAAAGCTATGGAGAAGAATGTAATTAATACATCAGACTCTTTTTCCCTGTAACTCATTGAAAAGTGTGGGGGATGAAGTGTTCAAATTGTAGCAAAGGCATCTATGATAAAACAAGCAGATGTTGAAAAAGCTGTGATCCCATGAGAAGTTTGAACAGAGAGAGACAGAAGAGTTTGAACTGAGAGAGAGAAGACTCTTTGCCCCCAGGGAAAGAAGAAGGCCTCTGTTCCCAGAGATGAAGATGATCTTAGAGATAGATAATATGACCCTTTGCTCTTGAACAGCTCATCCTTAAAATATGTACACCATAAGTTGACATGGCCCATAAATGCAGCTGTGGGAAGGTTGTGAAAAGATGGGAGGGACTTCACAATTGCAGATTCCTGGGCGGCTGCTATTCGTGGAATTTAAAAGCCATGAACCAACTGTTTTCTTCTGGAGAAGTCTCCATGAAAAGACAATTCACTAAGTCTCCCTTAGTGAATTGAAGAATAGTATTCTAGAGATGATAAAATGACTGAATTGTTTCTGTACATTGGTAGTGGGAAAGAAAAGGTTGTAGGGAGAGGAGAAGTGTTGTGAAGGTTTCATTCTGATTCTTACTATTCTTCTAGTTCTGCTAATAAACTTTTCTTTATACCCTTTTAAAGTTTTGAGCCTACTTTTCCTTCCTCCGAATCCTGTATCACAGCAGGAAATTAGTAAGTATATTCTAGTGAGTGCACTGGCATTTAGCCAGTGCTAGACCCACTAGTGAATTGGTGCATTGGCCAGGAAATCTCAAATTGGCCAACCAAAACCACTACAACAACTTAACAGATGCCATTAGTATTTAAACAATACCTAGAAGATATCTGCACTATGTTTAGGAAGATTTATTACTATATCATTTTTTGTAATTTTTTTTCAAAACATATGGACTTTTGTTGTACTCCTAAATATGTGAGTAGAACTAATAATGGGGCATGTACTCTGACATGCAGTGTCCTTAAGACAGATAATAACATATGTCCAAATTATCCTGTCTGGGCTAAAATAGCCCAAATAACAAAGCTTTTTTTTTCGGCTGGTCTTTCAAGAGACTTAAAAAGATGGAGAAATTACATGGCTTAGTCAGAATCAAGTAACTCTCCCTTTCTCAATTGAACATGAAATACATTTTGTAGTTGTTTTCTCCTTTTTTCTTGATAAAGGGCACGAGGCCCAATATAGAAACCATCACTAAAAGTATTCCTTTCTGTGATTATTGACATCCTCACTGCACATATCACTTCAAAGTTGGTGATGTCTTCTCTATAATTTTCTTGATGTCTTCCAATCATGTCACTGGATTTATTGGTCTTTATTTAAAGACTTTATTTAAAGACCAATAAAGGCAGTGGCTTCTCTGCATCTGAGAATGGGGCAGCCGTTTCATGGGCCTGAGGCTGAAAGGAGGCTTCCCTTAGTAGCCTTGTCCCTTAACATTTTCCATTCACAGGGTTCTGCATAGCAATTTGTCCAGAGTCAATATGGTCATGGCCACGATGAGAAGGAGAATTCCTTGTAGATGGGACTAGACTCTCTCTCAGTTTTTTAAGAAGACTCTAACAAACAGAAAAAAGCAGAAGGACATAGATGGTTTTCAGGTAATAAATGCAGCAAAGTAAAATTTATTTTTTAGTACAGAAGAGTAGTTATCTAGTTTTGAATAATGGGGAGAAGAGCAGCATTGGTTGCTTTGATTCTCTAGCTTTTGGGACTTATTAATGATGCTGTAGAAGGAAGAGAATGACATGGTGATGCTGCCCAAGTACTGAAAAGAAGAAGGGATGTGAGGGAACAAAATGGTTTCCTGTAAATTGTCTGAGCCCTAGCTCCCTATAATGACTTTAATAGGATCAGAGCTTTATTGTGAGTTTATTGATAAGATATGCTGTAACAAAATTATTTTGTAATCATGAATTAAATGTACACATCTGAATGTACAGCCTTGCTATCAAAAGGATAGCAGACTATAGGATTAAAAGCTAGACAATTCAGGATAGGAGTCTGTAATTAGTAGGCAGGTGGGTTTTTTTCAGTGACTGGCCTTCTTTCTCTTGCTGCTCACTTCTTCATGTGTACAATAATGGTTTGCAAATACAGATTTTTGGGGGAGGTAGCAAGAGGAACAGCTGGTTTTTTGATGCAGGCATTGGTACCTAATGAATTTTCCGCTGAGCAAGTTTAACCATAATTTTTAGTTTAAACGTATTCTTTATTAATATGGAAAGGTGCAAAATATTTTCATAGTTTTTACTCTTTAGCACAGTAAGTATAAAGAAAAGAAGGCAGTCTTTTCTTCCTTGGTAGAATATTGATGAAATGAGGGTGGATGTCACATGGTTGTATGGAATGAATTGAATTCTGTGGGTTGACAACTCTATGACAGAAATGATGGAGAAATTCAAGTATACTTGATAAATCACTTCCTGGTTGTGTAAGCAGTCATCCTGGGTTTGGTTGGGATAGAGTTAATTTTCTTCTTAGTAGTGTTTTGGATTTAGAATAAGAATAATGATGATTAACAACTGGGGTTTCTGTTGTTGCTAGGTAGTGTGTACCCTGAATCAGCTTCCTCTGCTTTGTAGTGAGGAAGTGCGTAAGAAACCATGAGGGAGCAAAATCAGGAGAGGTGGCCCAAACTGGCTAAAGGCACATTCCATACCATAAACTCATGTCCAATAAACTGAGGGGGTTGGGTGGGAGCTGATCATACAGCTTGAGGACAGCAGCTGGTGAGCCATATTGAATTGTCTATCCCTTTTCTTTCTTGAGGTTTATTTATCTCTTTTTTTTTTTAAGTGTCACTTTTGTTACAGTTGCTTTTGTTATCTTTATTATTAAAATATTTTAATTTTATTTGGGATTATCAATTTTTTTCCTCAGTTCTCCCCAGCCCACTCTGTGGAAGGGAGTGATTGAGCGACCACATATTACTTAATTGCTGACTGGGATTAAACTATAACAGCATGATATTGTCTATTTTTATGAATTACAACTCAGAGGAAAAGATCATATTGCTCTTCGTGTCTGCTGTGCTTAGCATTGTATTTTACTGTATTCAGAATTTGTTTTCTGACAACAAATTCTATTTGCATTATCTCTTTTGTGAATATTATTGTCATTATTTTAAATGTATGTTCGTTGTACGATATTAATCTTGTTTCTGAGAAATAAGCTGCATTTCAGGATAATATTGTCTTTTTTGGTGATTCTAGTGAGATAATAACATACAGGAATCATTAGCCCAAATGTAATTGAAGCCTGAAACTGTGACAGCTGAGAAAGTGTTGTGTGTTTTTAGTGATATGAAGGCTGACTTCCGTTTAAAAGTAAGCTGCTAAAAGATGTTTAGAACACTCTTCTTTTTCATTAACAATGTGAGTCAAACCCTGAATACTTGACTAGGAAAACAGCTTCCTGCTAAGCTAGTGGTATCACATATCTACCATGTTTGCTAGGCTATTGGGTTACACTGGGCCACTGTAGCAATTCTGAGTGTTAAATAAATTTCACTAAGTGTTTTATATTTTCATTTAGTGCTGGGGGAAAAACCAAAAAGAATTTACATTACACTAAATTCAGATTCCTTTTATTTTTTGTCTGACAGTGAAATTCTGTCCTACCCCATGAAAATCTTTATCAGTGTAAGTGGTTCAAGTAAGAAATATGAGGAAATGTGAATGAGGGGCTAGATTCACAAAGCTAATGGCAAAGAAGTGATCTTCTCCTCATTGAAGTTTGTACCTTCAGGTGTAAGTCACCAGAAGTGCATGAGGAAGTTGTTATTCTTTTCCTCAGGAGGTGTGAATTTAATACTTTAACCTAAATTAGTGTCCTAGCTACCAACAAGTAAGTATTATAAGGTGTCTTTTTTAGATACTGCTGCTTTATCTTCCCTAATAAATAAAGCAAGGAAAACTCAGTAGGTCAGTAAACCTCAGCATTAGACTGCAGCATTATTAGTGCTTTATAAAAATTAAAACAGTTTCACAAAAATGAATATGAAAGACCCAAATCAGAATTATATATAATATTTTTGTGACTAGAAAACTTACTTGTCAGATGGGGAGCTTCTGCTGAGTTCATTTGCTATTTAATTTATTAACAAGCATTAGAGTCCAGATTTCACAGGAGATGCAAGTAGTCACCTTGAAAAAGGTGATTTCAAAGACACCACTGAAGTCAAACCCATTTACCACAGAAAAAAAAGGCTTGTATACATAATAAAGTGCAACTATAAAAGATCATTTCAAAATACCATTATTTTTTGAACTCCTGCTTACATGAAAACTGAAATGATAATTAAAAATTATATTTTGTTTATTAACTTGTCTTTTTAAAGTAACATTTTTTATAACTTTGCCCTTCTTTTCTTTTTAACAGCACCTTCAGGCTTGAAGGAATATCTGTATTTGGAGGCACATCAATTAATTTGCGTATCAGATTCATCATTGTGACTTCTTGCAGGCCAGATCTGAGAAGTAACCAGGAAACCTGACCCTTAGTGGAGAATGGAAGAACCCTTGAAGTCAGAGCACAACTGAGCACTAGTGTAATCTGCATTGAATCATCTTTCTCAGATCTGACAGCTACAAGCTGAGTCCTGGCAACAGCCACAGCCTTAAATTCCATTCAGTGGGAAAGAAGGATAAGAGAACTCAATGTTTTGCCCCGTTGCAGAAACTGCTGTTTCCAGGCCTAACACCTGAGTCCTGTGCTGAGCAACGAGAGTACCAAACAAGGAGGTTTTTATGGGTACAGCCAGCATCAACAAATATCTCAATATGTAGCCAAAAGGAAAAAGGAAGCACTTAGTAATTTCAGAAAATGGATGCATTTATTGTAACAGAGAAATGTTACTGTCTGTGGGGAAGAAGACCTCTGTCGTCCCTTGTATATATTCAAAGCCATACAGGAACAGGGCATAAGTGAAGTCACTTAAAAGGATGCTGTCTCCTGTCCTCCACCCAACTTTGAGGAAGTTCCACTCTTAGAGATTGCATCTCGATGCACTTCTATTATTTGCACTGTCACTTCCATTCAGGGTAATGATGTGTGCCACCATTTGCACAGATGGCCCCAGGAGATTTTTGACCACAACAAGCTATACTTTGCCAGGGCTCCAAATGGAATTAAAAAGTTAGAACTGAAGAAAGACATTTATGCTCTCTTTCACTATGGGGATCTCTTCACAGAAAGGATTATGGTCCTTTCTTAGGATGAAATAAATACATGCATATACATACATATATACATATGTATATATATGAAAAAGCAGCAACATGATAAGGTGTATTTAAAAAGGGGATATAATCTTTTTTAATAGCATCCATTTTTTTTATCATATTAGCAGCCGAGAAATTTAAGCTATTGAATTATACATCCAAAAATGTTCCTGTTGAACATTGACATTTAGTCCCAGTTACTGCTAAAGAAGTCATTTGTAATATGTACTTGACATAAAATTTTTCTAGCCATTTGTCTATACTTCATGGAGAAATCTAACAGACAAGCAACATTTTCAGTTTATTTTTCTAAATAAATGTGTTGTTTGTATTATTTGCAGTCACTCATTTTGGCTGGTTTTCATTATCTGCAAAAGTGATTTAAAGACAGAACCAAAACACAGGGATTGTTTGTTCTTGTTAAGCTGTAATGATTTGCTGAATGAAAGCTTTAATATAAATACTGTAATTTGTAAAATGATGAAGTATATTTATATAGGCAAATATGTATGGAAAACAAAAGGAGGTATTTTAACTCTTAATTTCAGAACATAGTTTATTTTAATATCCACAGGAAGAAATTAAATATATAATGGGATAGGGTTTTTATTATCAATGAGTTTTACTAAGTGAAAATTTGGATGTTTAAGAATGAAATGAATGTAGTCAAATAATGGTGGTTTCCCAAATTATACAAAGACCTTTTGCCAGTTGTCTCATTTTACTCAGAAACTGATTTAATCATCCACGAGGGGGTTGGGTTTTTCTGGGGGGGTGTGTGTGCTAAGGTTTTTGTTGGTGTTTTGTTTGTTTTGGCATACTGACAGGACCATGAATTTGATACTATTTGCTCATAATTTGAAAAGCTACAGAATAAAAGATTGTTTCTTAGAACAATCTACAGTTTGCAGTTAAGAACAGTCACTGTTATCAAACTAATGCAGTGTTTTGTTGTAGAGTTATTGAACATTTCAATGCTAGAGCTGTTTTAAATAAATTTTTTTTCCTTTCTTTTCTTAGTCCATTAGCCTATGTGTAATTCAAAGAGAAAAGTAATGCATTTGGTTCCCAGTTCACTTAAATAATTTGTCTTAAGTCCAGTTATATGTATCTGATTTTTAAAGCTGAATAGCTTTTTTTTTTTCAGTTCATTGCTTTATGGAAGCATTTAAGTGCTCACTAACAGAAAAAATACCTTTCAACAACAGAAATAATTTTCAAAAAATCTGTGGGTTAACTTTGTGAAGGGCAGATGTCTTAAAAATGTGTTGCTCTGCTCTAATGTGCTAACAAGTGTAATGTGTGTATGTTTGTGTGTGCGTGTGCACGCATGGCACCCTTACCTGCTCATGAATGAAATGCCAGCTCTGCTGAAGTAAGTGCCACAAGTCCTGTTACTGCAAAAGATGCTCATGTTACTGTATTCTTTGGTGAAAGACCTGACCTCTGTCTTTGCTTGTGACTCTGAAGCCATAAACAGCTTTTGAAGTTAGTCAGGAAATCAGAAAATTAAGTAAGTTTATGTTAGGCTCCCTCATTTGGCAAAAATTGGGATGATCTTATGATTTGACTCTTTTTATGAAAGTTAGTGGTCAATTTCCTTTGGTGCAATGGATAAATGAAACCTTTGTATTTGTTAAAGAATGATGTCTGTGTTTTGTTCACACACAATTCAGCTCTTGGCTTATAGTGTTCTTACTGTGATTTCATTCCTGTGTCATTAGAATAAGTTATTTGGACACATATCTGGCATGGGCTTGGTTTTCCTCCCTTTTTGGATAATCAGTATTTTAAAATTGGAGAGCTGCTTCTTTGAGACAAGTATTCAGTTGTTTAACAAGGGAACAACATTTTTGAAACAATAAGAAAATTTCAGAATAATAATTCGAACACTTCCATCATTGCCTAATAATAACACTTGAAAAAGCTCTTATTTTTGTGAACAAAATGCATTCATCTGTATTTGAAAATAGCCCAATAAAAATCCAGTGGAATAATTTGTTACTACTTGCAAATACTTTTGTGCTATGCTGAGCTCTAGATCAGCTTGCGTGTAAAATTTTTATTGCACAAAACCCACCTAAAACAATGCTCAGTTTTCTTCAGAAAAATACATGAGATATGAAAAATAATGATTTTGTCCCAGGAGTGGTTTTATGTAATTTGTGCAATGCAAAAATGATGAACAGATACCAACATGTAGGCCTAATTTAAGTGACAGATGTAATTGGAAGATAACACTGCAAACCACAGGTCTCATTAATCACATGCTGTTATTTGCACCTCTGCTTAACTGGGACTTCATGCTGGAAAGTAAATTCAGTGTGCATGCACACTCATACAGTGTTATGTATCATGTCTTATTTTACTAGCAGTGTCACTGGGAGAAATTCAGGAATTTCTTGATTTTTGTAGATTTTAATTAAATCCTTAGATAAGTATTCAATATTGGATATAAATTGAGATGATGTCTGTATATTGTGCAGATGATCCCATCAGATAGCATTTCAACACAATTTCAGAAATTGCTGGCAAATAATTATCACTGAATTTTGTAGTTTAAAACCAGAGGAGATAATTATATTATCTATTGAACAGCAAAAAAATTGTGGTATTTCCATTATGTACATCCAAGCATACTGACAAGACCAGCAGAACTTTTTCACCTAAGATGACTTTTCAGCAACTAATGGGTCCTTTTGTGGGTATTTGTGTCATGCATATAAGAATGGCCTACAGAAATAGTTCTGGCCTAATAGTGCATTGTTTCCTTAGCTGGCATCTGAAAAGCCACCTGGAGCAGCCAATAGGCTTGAAAGGATGAGCTGTGCAAAACAAAATGCTGACAGTTCTAGACTTGTCTACAAGACAGAATTTCAGCACTTGAAATTTTTAAAAGACAAGGATCACCATCTTTCATGAGAAAAACTGGGATATGTTAAAATAGCTCTTTTACAGAGTGGAAGACAAAGATTATGAAAACCTGGTGATCACCAGGGTGATATAAAAGTGTCCCTCCTGACAGAGCTGCTCCAAGTGTCGCATGTTGAGAATATCCCCAAGGGACAGGGTTTGTTTTTACCCCTCTGATCAGTGATGTGCTAGGTACATGGCAAGGCAGTGATGTCATTACTAAAAGCTGACCACAAGACAGTGGTGAGCTTTTGTCTAAGGAGGGGTGGAGGAAGGACAGCCACCACTCTGCCCGGCAACTTCCTGCTGGGGAGGAGGCTGTTACTGATACTGGATCATAGAAGAAATCTCAGAGGACTATTGAGAGTAAATCAATGATTTTCATGAACTGGACTGTTGAAGATGCCATGAGAGGGGGAAAAAAAGGGATGTTGTTCAAAATACTTCTCTCTCTAGATTCAACATCCTTGCAGATCTGCAAGGAAGCCATGAAATCTCCCCACAGCTGGGCTGAATTTCAGAAAAGATAATTATAAACAAGGACTCCTGTTCAGGAGAATCTGGAAGGAATAGGGTAAAGTCATGGCAGATGGCATAGAGACTATTTAAGTTATTCTTGAAGGAAGACAGTAAATACATTCTGCTTAGCTAGAAAGGCTTGAGAAAGGGTAAAAGGGAAATCACACAGCTAATCAGCAGGGTATCAGAGGCTACTGAGGGCAAGATGTCCTTCAGATAGTTGAAGATTTTTAAAGAAAGTGTAAGGACTAAATGTAAGACTAAATACAAATTTAAAAAGAAAAAAAAAAACCCAAGCAACAAACCCAGAGCAACATTAGTCAAATCAACTCCAAGATACTTAAGAGATTTCTCAATTAAAATAGTTAAAAGAAACTAGAATTAAGAAATTCTGTTTCTGCAGCAGAGCAGAGGGAAATCTGGGAGACCATCTGTAATGCTGAAAGATAATCAAGGAAAACAGAAGCACTTGCAAGAAGCTTTGGGAACAAAATGGTCAGAACACTTTAACTCTGCTCGTGCTGTGGAAGAAATTTTGTAGGTTCTCACACATTATTTTTTTGTGGGGGAGCTCATATGAAGTCATGGTTTGCTAGTTTGAGGTGGTACAAAATAAAATGAAGGGATATAAAGCTAAGATTTTTAAAGACACTCAGGGATGAAGTAGCCAAATCGTACCTGTGGAATGAAATTCTTTGTTTAAAGTTATTTTGATAGCTTTTGAGATGTGAGGTTGCAACTATGTTGCCAGTTTTATATTGAAAGAGTATGGTCCATTAAATCAGTATGAGGCAAAAGCATTCAAACTTTAATAATATATCTCTAAAAAGAGCTAAACACATCTAACGGTGTCAATATTACCAAACACCACAGGAAATTGCACAGATGGCTAAGAGAAAACACAAAAGAAACTGCAGCTGGCTAAGAGGAAAGTTCCTGAATTCATAAAAAGATGAAAAATATTGGAGAAAATAGTGATTTTTGTGTCAGTTTTCACAGGCAACAGAGGCCAAGAGTGAAGTTCCAAGGGACATATTCTGTGATCCATGTGTCTCAAAATATATTTGAACATGTGAATATGCTGGAAAAGTAGTATATAATTATGTGGCGAATTTGGTGATCATACTAAATTAATGAAGGCGGTAAATAGGGGAGGTCCTGAATGACTGACTAAATTAATTTTATTAAAATTAAGAATTAAATTGAATGAAGATAAATATAAACTGATATTAAAACAATTTTATATTTTATATATTTCACTTAGCTTTAATTTAGCAGTTAAATGTTTTTGTGAAATTGTTGGTCTTGTGCTTAGGAGGGCAGAAAAAATGGAAGTATGCAGTTAACATTTATTAGGAAAGCAGCAGAGAAAATGAGTGAACATTTCACACTTCATTGTATGCAACAGGTATGCAATAGCCTAATATGATATTAAACTTTTTAAATACTATGCCCAGTTCCTTGACTGGAAAACGAACAAGCACACAAACAAACAAACAAAAAATGTGAACAAACTGAAAAAGCTTCAGAGAATGAATGAAAAGGTGGAAAAATAGGTACAATTTGATTCTGTCTGTGAAGTGACAGCAGGTAATAATTCTTCTGCTCAACAGAGGTGTTAAAGAGAAGTAGAGTGACAAGATCATGAATGGCATCGGGTGTGTAACAGGGGTCATCAAACAAATCCAACCACTGAGAAGCTCAAAAACAACACAAAAGCGTTTATTTAAGCAATGTGGAGGGAAGCTGTGGAACTCTTTCACTCAAAACATATTGCATATGCTGAAAGTTTATGGGAAGGAGGGGCTGTGAGAAGAAAAGGAAAAATAGTAATTGAGAGTTGCTAAATGAAGTGATCCTGATTTTGTTTGTAGTGAAGACACATTTTTGTCAGGGTGAGTA